AGGCACGGCAGCTTTGAGGCTCTGCTCCATCTTCCCTGCCTCATGAAAAAGATAAAGTTTCCTTGCTCCTCTTCTTTGAAATTTTCTCTTCTCTTTTCTTCCTTTCCCCTTCCTTCCCTCCTCTCTCTCTCTCTCACCACCTCTCTCTCTTTGTTTTTGGTATTACTATATGATGCTGTAGCCCTCTGGGCCCATGCCTTCCACTGTGGTCTTCTGCTCGGCTCCCCATTTTGAGTGAACTCTATGCTTTGCCTCTTGATGCTTTTCCCCTCACAAAGCTGAAGCTCAGACATCCAGTTCAGTTCATTTACTCAGTCGCGTCTGACTTTTTGCTACCCCATGGACTGTAGCACACCAGGCTTCCCTGTACTTCACCAGCTCCCAGAGGTTGCTCAAAATCATGGCCATCGAATTAGTGATGCCATCCAACCATCTCATTCTCTATCGGCCCCTTCTCCTCCTGCTTTCTATCTTTCCCAGCATCAGGGTCTTTTCCAATGAGTCAGTTCTTCACATCAGGTGGCCCAAGTATTGGAGTTTCAGCTTCAGCATCTGTCCTTCCAATGAATGTTCAGGACTGATCTCCTTTAGGATCGACTGGTTGGATCTCCTTGCAGTTCAAGGGACTCTCAAGAGTCTGCTTCAACACCACAGTTCAAAAGCATCAATTCTTTGGTACTCAGCTTTCTTTACCTCTTTTTAAAATTTCCTTTTCATCCAGGGCTCAGCAGAAAACCTCAGAATAACACCAAAAGTAAACTGGCTTTAGCGCTTTGACAATATCCACTGTGGGTGTTTGCTAAGTTTTTTCAGTCCTGCCCAACTCTTCGAGACCCTGTCGACTGTGGCCCACCAGGCTCCTCTGTCCGTGAAATTCTCCAGGCCAGAATACTGGTGAAGGTTGCCGTGTCCTCCTCCATGGGATCTTCCTGACCCAGGGATCAAACCCAAGCCTCTTACGTCTACCTGCATTGGCAGTTTCTTTAGCTAGGTTTACTAGCACTACCTAGGAAGCCCCAAATATCCACTAAGTTTACTCATTTTACTTTTTTTTTTGTCTTTATTTTCTTCCTTCTCTGCCAATTCAGCAATACAGCTTAAAATATATTTAATATTTTATTCAAGATTTGAGTATTGTTAATCAAAATGATTGTTTTCTGAATCTATCTCACCATATAAGAAAAATGAAGGTCAAGAATATTTACTTTGAATGATTAAAAATATATCATGTATACTTACATTTTTCTCCTCCCTAATGTGAATGATCCTTTATTTAATTGAAATATTTATGAAATAACAAATTATGCAATTTTGGATTCTGCTCCCAGTCCCACTTAGGTCACCAACTAAGATTCTGGTAGGCAATTTCAATGTGCGGGATTTTTTTCCCCCACGTCAACAAGCAATTCTCTGCCACCAGCTGGGAGTCCTGCAGTCTTATTCAGTTCTGATAGAGTCTACCTGGAGAGAGTGTCAACTCCCAGACAGATCCCCTAGGCTCAGGGCTCCATCCCAGGAGACAGTCTCCCATTTTAGACGCCAATCAACAGTAGGTCATCAGGGCTTCACTGGTGCTAACGCAAGGGGGCTGGATTCTATCCCTGGGCAAGGTGTTAAGTCCCACGTGCCACACCTGAGTCTGCATCTTGCAGATCACATGTGCAGCAGTGAAGATCTTGCATGCCTGGGGCAGCCAAATAAAGGAATATTCTTTAAAAAGTAATAGATCGTCAAGGTACCCACAGCTTGTGCTCAACTTGGCTACAAACCAGGGATTCTCAGGACCCCCTCCTCGGGTTTTATTAATTTGCTAAAGCAGCTCACAGAGCTCAGGGAAGCACTTCCTCACGTTTACTAGTTTACTGGAGGAGGGGATAACAGATCCCAAAGAACAACCAGTGGGTGCGAGCAGGAGTGAGCCCTGGGAGAGTCCCAGACTTCGGTCACTGTGGCATCGCCCTCCCACTCTAAGAACGCTGCCATCACCTGGAAGTTTTCTGAACCCCACACTGTTGGGACTTTTACAGAGGCTTCATCACATAGGCGTGAAAGTGTTAGTCGCTCAGTCTTGTGGGACACTTTACGAACCCCAAGAACTGTAACCCGTCAGGCCCCTCTGTCCATGGATTCTGCAGGCGAGAATACTGGAGTGGATTGCCATTCCCTTCTCCAGAGGATCTTCCTGACCCAGGGATTGAACCCAGGTCTCCTGCAGTGCAGGCAGATTCTTTACCCTGTGAGCAACCAGGGAAGAACATCACACAGGCGTGATGGACCGTTAATTCCCTTTCCAGCCCTTGTCTCTCCTGGAGATGTGTTGGTGGGGGGACTAAATGTTCTAAGCTTCTAATCATGGCTGGTGACCAGTGCCCATCCAGGAGCCCACACAGTCACCTCGTTAGAACCAAAGGTGCTCCCAACACTGCTATCACTTAGGAAATTGTGTTTTAGGAGCTTTGTGCCAGGAACTGGGGGCAGAGACCAATCGATACACATTTTTTCTTATCTCTTGCAATTGTTAGGGGAATTTCTTTATAAAGCCTACCTATATTACAATTTCAGTATAAATAATAACTCAGCAACTATATTTTGAATACTTATGAATTGTCAGACACATTTTTATCTAATGGGCTTTGTATGTTTGAGGGATTTTAGGTTTCTGGAACCATTAGTGGAAAGTACAGTCTTCCCTTCTACTCTCTCACTTGCAACTCCCTCTTCCTGGTCTCTGTTATTAGCACCTTGCATTAGTGTGGTATATTTGTTACAACTGATGAGTCAATATTAATACATTATTGTTGCAAATAGATCTCTTTTCTAAAAAAAGATTATTGGAGTGTAGTTGCTTTACATTGTTGTTTTAGCAACATTGAAAACGCAGCAAAGGGAATCAGCTATACATGCAGAGGTATCCTGGCTTCTCCGGCGGCTCAGCAGTGAAGACTCTGCCTCAGAAGTGCAGGAGCTGGCAGGAGCCTTGAGTTCGATCTCTGGGTCGGGAAGATCTGCTGGAGGAGGGCATGGCCACCCACTCCAGTATTCTGGTCTGGAGAATTCCGTGGACAGAGGAGCCTGGCGGGCTACGGTCTACAGGGTTGCACAGAGTCGGGCATGGCTGAAGAGACTTAGCACACGCAGCGCACACATCGCCGCTCCTCTGTTTGGGTTTCCTTCCCACTTTGGTCCCCACAGAGAACTGAGTAGAGTTCCCTGAGCTATACCTTTGGTTCCCATTGGTTATCTATTTTGTACATAGTATCAGTAGGGTATACCTGTCCATCCCAATCTCCCAATTCATCCCATGCCCCCTTCCCCTTGGTATCCATATCTTTGTTTTCTAGGTCTGTGTCTCTACTTCTACTTTGTAAATAAGATTGTCTATACCAATATTTTCGTATTTCACACATATGCACTAATATACGTATTTGTTTTTCTCTTTCTGACTTCATTCTGTTATACATGTATCTCTTGATATATGTTTTTGAATCCTTTTAGAAATCAAACAAGATGTATGTTATTCCTATTTAAAAAAAACAAGCTAAGATTGAGTATTAAATTTTGATTCACTCACAAATGTATAAGAATAAGAGCTTCGACCATTATATTCACTTTCTCTTCTATTTTACCTGCTTTGAGTAATCCTGTATTTCAGCTATTTTCTGCTTATTGAAATGTATGCTTTGTATTGCATATTATTAAAAAATTTCCATAGGAAATCATTGTATCTTGAGATCTCATCTTTAGAACTAACACACTTATCTTGTATAATTACTATATTATACCATGCTTACTCTCTCAGTCATATCTGACTCTTTGTGACCCTGGGGACTGTAGCCCGCCAGGCTCCTCTGTCCATGGGGTTCTCCAGGCAAGAATACAGGAGTGGGTTGCCGTACCCTCCTCCAGGGAATCTTTCCAACCCAGGGACTGAACCCAGGTCTCCCACATTGCAGGTGGATTCTTTACCTTCTGAGCCATCAGAGAAGCCCAACTACTATTTTAGGACACCAATTGGTGATGACCTTTTCCTGTGATCACACCTGCAATGAAAATTACTATTACTAATTGTTTTATGAATACTCCATAGTCTAATTTAGTTTTGTTATTATAAGCCTTGCTCTTTATCTAATGGCAATATAGATAAACATGAAAACAACAATGCTCTGCTTTTTGTTTAACAACACATCATCATTTATTTTCTTTTAGTAATGAGGAGTGCTCTTCTCATAACTTTAAACATTCTTTTGGGTTATTGTTTAAGTTTTTATTTAAGAACAATAGTTCTTACAGGGCAAAGTAGACTACCACGTCTGTAAATTAGTCCTGTGGGTAATGGTGTCTATGGTAAATCTATGGCTTTATTTCTTTTTCTATAAGAAATCTCTGACTGCACTGGGTCTTTGTTGCAGCGTTCAGGGCTCTCTAATTCAGGTGTGAGGGTTCAGTAGTTGCTCTGTGTGGGTTTAGTTGCCCCACGGCGTGTGGAATCTTGGTTCTCCAACCAGGGATGGAACCCATGTCCCCTGCATTGGGATGTAGATTCTTAACTACTGGACCACCAAGGAATTCCCTTTTATTTCTTATTTGAACTCATTTCATTCATAAAGATGAATCAAGTACAAGGCATCTCTACAAAGCATGCTTTGTACTGATTTGAATGTCAGTATCAGAACTGATTTCACTGTAAAGCAGAAGTTTTCAGTGTTGTTGTTCTTATGGTCAAACATATGTTGCATCTAACTTACTTCATGTATGCTGTATATTGGTGGAGTCAGATTCTGCTATCCTTTCTCTCAACGTTTTGGTTAATGGTAATTCTTGCTGGATCTCATGTCAGATATATAATGTAATGAATGCACCTGAAGGAGACATACCAAAGTCAAATCTGTTTCAGCACCACCATAACTGATTTCCCATAACATTTGATGGTTTCAAAAGCATGATACATTCCATTATATAACTTAAAATTCATTAATGTAATTATATATTTTGTCCAACAGTAAGTGGGCATCCAGTACTCAAAAGAGCTAACATCCGGATTGTTGGGAAGCTGGTGGCCACATCTATAAGAGAGAGGAAAATGAGACAACGGTATTCATCATGAGAAGTAAGATAGTGTTTTCAAAACAATTTTGTTACCTTAAGAGTTGACCCTGTCTCCCCAAAGACAGATTAGCATTGGCCATGGATTAATTCTGTATAGACTGGAAAAAAGGACAAGCATCTTTGACCATCCAAAGAAGAAATTCAACAAGACAGTCTATAATTACTAAATGTCTTCAGATGAACCATTCATTGGATCTTTTTTTAATAAATAATGGAGTTGAAATCACATAGTATCAAGTTCCTTTCATTGGACTCAAATTTGGTTTGTTCCAGTACCAATAAATGCTGTAAAAAAGTTAAAATTCTTATTTTCAAACATTTGTTTCCATTTTTGGAAATGATTTCTCAAAGTGTGTTTTAAAATATATTATTTTATTAGTGTAGTTATCATATTATGTTTCCCCTATTTTATTGCTCAGTTGAAAGTGAAAAACTGAGAGTTAATATCTAGTATTCCTGAGCTACCTGCCTTAACTTGGAAAGGACCTGAAGCACAGTGGCTAACACCAGTCCCTTAAGAATCTTGAATTTAAATTTATCAATCTGTCTATCATCCATCCATCTGTCCATCATTCCTTCCCTCATCCTTCTGTTTCTCCTTTCATCTGTGAATGAGATTGGAGAAAGAAGAGAAGGCATGAACCCAGTGGGAACATCACCCATGCACAGCACGGTGGCTTGGTGTGAATAAAGAGGCAGGCACTATGTGGCAGGCATTCCACTTTCTCAGTCCTTACCCTAATCTGTTACCTCTGTAACAGACACCTAGGTTTTTGTTTTTTTTTTAAAAACCCTCAGACTACTTCATGCAATGGAGTGTGCTGTAAGCAAGGAAATAACTAGAATGAAATCTTAGAAAAGCTAATTACAAGAATCATGTAAAGTCAGGGCCCCACTTAAACCAGAACCAAGAGGGACTAAAACACACGCTGATACTCTAATTAGAAAATGGTAACAGTAAAACATCTGATGGAGGGAAAATGATTACTGGAGCTAAAATAGAGAGGTTAGCTTATCTGTGAAATTAAATGATCTGTATTATCCCTGCTAATAATTGAGAAAGCTTCATTTTAAAGAGAAACATTTTACTTCAATACTAAAAAATAGCTGGAAAATATACAGTTAAATAATCACACGAGTTGAGTCCCAGCATGGTAACAGATCATCAGCTTGCTCCTTTTTATAGCATTATTAAGGTAAAAATTGGCTAGATTTCTGCCTACAGTATTCCAAAAAATTGAGAGCAAAAGCATAGAATATAATGAAAGGCACTTACAAACTAAAACATAAGATATCCTAATGAGTGCTCTGTAATGAATGCCAGTATTTCAAATGACATATTTATAGGAGAAAACAATTAATATAAAAACAATATCACAACTACCTATTAACATAAAATATGAAAACTAAGCTATGATGATGACAATTGGGAGCAAGATGCCAAAGAAATTTATTTTTCCTTTAAAAAAGTGTTATTGTTCTTGTCTCATGTTTTCTACATTTGACTCTTCTTGATTTTTAGCAAACTGAAGTAGGGCTCCTAAATGCCTTGCAGAGGTATGATCCTACATGAAGTTCATTGACATGTCACTCCAGAGTTTAGAAGACAGTGTAAGGTCAGTGAGAAGGAGCCTTCACTTTTCAATAGTCAATTTCTATATAAAAATTGGCATTTGGCACTCATCAAAGAACAAGAAATATAGGATATGCTCTAAATGTCCATTGTGTTTTTGAGCCAACTACCTGATGGAAGTCATCACTTATATGTAAATGAACTGTCAATGGCTTGCCACTGTTGGCGATTACTGGACTGTGAAGGGTATGTCTTAATAAGAACTGAAGCTCTTCACAGACTTTGATTTACTGGAAATAAAATAGAAAAGTCCTCTGAGACTACAAAGGACACTTGTTTCAGATAAAACGTCTAGACAGTAGCAATATATTTAGGGCTTTTATTATAGCAAAACTGCAAATTAGAATGGAGTGGTGAGAAAGTTCCTGTGACCCAGCTGAGTTCTAAAACACTGCGTCTGACTAGAGTAATACAATCTTTAAAATAGCTAAGCCAAATTAAATAAAAGTGCATTAAGTAAAAGAAAACAGAAACAACAGAAGGTCAAGATTTAGGTTTCTTACATCTCTTAAATGAACTTTGTCTTATGTCTTACATTTTATTATAAACCTATATTTTTCTAAATAAATGCAGCTATCAGAATAGTTGAAAGCCAAACTTCCATAACCCTGAAACATGGACTGCCTTTCAGAAAATTCAGACTTAAGGGAATTATTCCTTATTGATTCATTCCTTTTCTCAGCTTCCGTTCTAGAACACACAACTGAAATACTGAGTTCTGTGTAACTTTTTATTAATGTTGTTAATAACAAAGATATATTACATTTGCAAAATGCTTTAGAATTTACAGGATACTTTCACACAAAAGTGAATTTTGGAATGTGTGCACAGGCGTGCATGCTCAGTCGTGTCTGACTCTGCAACTCCATGGACTATATATAGCCCATGAGGTTCCTCTGCCCATGGGATTCTCCAGGCAAGAATACTGGGTTGCCATTTGTTCCTCCAGGGGATCTTCCTGACCTAGGGATTGAACCGGAGTCTCCTGCTTAGCAGGCAAATTCTGTACCACTGAGCCGCCAGAGAAGCCCATATTATGTTGAGAGAAGAATATAACTCTGGGTAGGTCAATAACTTTGAAAAACAATCCTCCTAATCCCATTATCTTAAAATAACTTTTTTGCTCACTTCATAATTCAACATAAGCCAGCAGGTACTACCCCATGCATTCTTTTAAACATTCAGGTTTTTTCCAATCTTAATAGCTTTGACATTTTTTAGGGCTTCACCTGCAATCTTCACAGCCAGGCAGCAGATAAAAAAAGAGAGTGTGGAGAAAGCATATCCTCTTCTTAACTAATTCAATCTGAGCTTGGAACATATTACTTATCTCTTTTGGAAAGAATTTGTTACCTGGTTCCATCTGAATACAATGGGACTAGGAAATGCAGTTTAGTTTTATCAAAAAAGATAATATGCCATTTTGGGACATGGGAGTAAATTGCATTCCTCATTATTTTAGGGAAGAGGAAAAATTTCAAATGCTTTCACTTGAATGGTCATCATTCTAGTTTAAAATATTATAAGGAGCCTAGATTAAGATGGCAGCTTTGGAAGATCTTGAGCTCACCTTCTCCAGTAGCTCTATAATTCCAGCTAAATATAGAGCAGCCATCTCTGAGAATGATCTGAAGCATAGCAGAAAAGATTTCCCACATCTAAAGATATAAAGAGGGGGCTGCAATGATATGGGCATGAGGGGTATAGACATGGTCTACTTGGGACCAGACCCTTAGCATGATGACCTACTGCTGGCAGGATAACGTAACCAAGGAGTTCCTCTCCAGGGAACACGGCGGGGGTCTAAGCCCCACATGAGGTTCCCCATCGCAGGATCCTGCACCAGGAGACAGCCTTTAAAAGTCCGGCTTTGAAAGTCGACAGGGCTTAGGCTCAGGAGAGCAAAGTGTTAGTCGCCCATTGTGTTTGACTCTTTGCAACTCCTTGGACTGTAGCCTGCCAGGCTTTTCTGCCCATGGGATTTCCCGGGCAAGAATACAGGAGTGAGGGCTTTAGGAAACCAAGACTCTACTCTTAAAGGTTGCACACAAAACCTCACTTACTCCAAGAGCCCGTGCAGGGGCAGTAGTTTGAAAGGTGCCTGGATCAGACTCACTCATGGTCTTGGAGAGCCTCCTGCAGAGGCAGGAAGTAGCTGGGCCTCCATCCGGGGACCAAAAAGCTAGAGGTAGTCGGCCAACAGCATCCCAACAGTTAAAAGCGGAAAGCATTTCCTCTAAGGTCAGGAACAGGACGAGGATGCCATTCTGCCCACGCATTTATTGATGTTTTTTTCATATAGCATTGGAAGTCCTAGCCACACAGATAAAGGCATCCACGTTGGAAAGGAAGATGTAAACCTGTCATCATTTGCAGATGACATGATACTACTACATATAGAAAATCATAAAGATGTCACTCAATGAATTCAGTAAAGTTGCAGTGTACAAAATTAATTACAGAAATCTGGTGCTTTTTTACACACTATTAATATAGGATCAGAAGGCAAAATTAAGAAAACAATCCCATTTACAATTACATCAAAAGGAATAAAAAACCAAGGAATAACTGAGGCAGTGAAAGACCTGTTCTCTGAAAACTATAAGATATTAATAAAGTAAAATTTCAGATAATACAAATAAATAGAAATACATACTGTGCTTAGGAACTGGAAAACTTCAAAATGTTAAAATGTCTATAATACTAAAAGAGATCTACAGCTTCGATGCAATCCTGTCAAAACACCAATGACATTTTTCACATAACTAAAACAAAGAAACCTAAAATTTGTATGTGCTTAGTCGTTCAGTCATGTCTGGCTCTTTTGTGACCCCATGGACCATAGCGCACCAGGCTCCCCTGTCCATGGGATTCTCCAGGCAAGAGTAGTGGAATGGATTGCCATTCCCTTCTCCAGAGTATCTTCCTGATCCAGGGGTTGAATCTGTGTCTCTTGCATCTCCTGCATTGGCAGGCATATTCTTTACCACTGTGCCACCTAGGAACCACAAAAAAACTTGAAGTACCAAAGAATCTTGAGAAAGAAGAGCAAAGAGGACTCAAACATTTTTCTGAGGAAGATAGTCAGATGACCATGAAAATCACTCAATATCGCAAATTATCAGGGAAATGCAAATTGAAACCACAGTGAAATATCAAGTCACACCCATTGGAATGGCTATTATCAAAAGACAATGTTTTATATTATCAAAATAGCAAGAACTGGTGAGGATGTAGAGAAAAAGGAACGCTTGTACACCATTAATGGGAATGTAAATTGGTGCAGCCACTACGAAAAACAGCATGGAGGTTCCTCAAAAAATTAAAAATACAACTACTATATGTCTCTACA